TGCTTGTCCAGGGCTACAACAACAATGTGTGCTGTTGGGGGTAATGGAGGACTGTTGGGAAACACTGCTTTAGGCCTACAGTATGTGTCACGCCCTGACCTTAGAGATCACCTGTATTCTCTGTTTGGTTAGGTCAGGGTGTGATTTGGATAGAATCTAGTGTATTCTATGTCTATGTTGGCCGGGTGGTGGTTCCCAATCAGAGGCAGCTGTCTATCGTTGTCTCTGATTGGGGATCATACTTAGGCAGCCATTTTGCCTACCTATGTTGTGGGATCTTGTTTCTGATGCTGCTTGTTGCTGTTAGCCTTTAGAACTTCACGTTCAGTTGCTTTTGTTATTTTGTCGGTGTTTATTAGAATAAACAACTATGTACGCATACCATGCTGCACCTTGGTCTAATCCTTTATACAACGAATGTGACAGAAGATCCCACCACCAACGGACCAAGCAGCGTGAACAGGAGGAGCAGACATGCTGGACACAGGTGGGGAAGACATTTTGGACACAAACCAGTGGTGCGTGTCCCTAGCCTGGTACGGCCCGTGCCTGCTCCTCGCACCAAACCATTGGTGCGTTTCCACAGCCCGGTGCGCCCCGTACCTACTCCTCGCACCAAACCAGTGGTGCGTGTCCCTAGCCTGGTATGGCCCGTGCCTGCTCCGGTTATCTGCTCCCTACCAGAGCCGGGGCAGTCCGCTTCACCGGTGCTCAGTCCGAGTCCGGTAGTCTACTCTTCCCCCATGCCGGAGCCATCCGCTCAACCAGGGTCCAGACAGGACTTGGTGCATCGCGGGAGGACTGCCGAGCTGGAACCAGACGTTAACCCCTTTCCAGGGTCGGGATCTCCCACACCCGGGTCCAGACAGGGCTTGGTGCATCGTGGGAGGACTGAGAGGGGAAGCATTGCGCCGGGGTCCAGACCGGACCGGGCGTGCAAAGGGGAGGCAGGATGGAAGAGGAGTTTACTGCCTACGTCACGGCCGGAGCCGGAGCCGTCACCGAGGCTGGAAGCCCACCCGGACCCTCCCCTAATGAGTCAGGTTTTTGCGGCCGGAGTGCGCACCTTTGGGGGGGGGGGTACTGTCACGCCCTGACCTTAGAGATCACCTGTATTCTCTGTTTGGTTAGGTCAGGGTGTGATTTGGATAGAATCTAGTGTATTCTGTTTCTATGTTGGCCGGGTGTGGTTCCCAATCAGAGGCAGCTGTCTATCGTTGTCTCTGATTGGGGATCATACTTAGGCAGCCATTTTGCCTACCTTTAGTTGTGGAATCTTGTTTCTGATTCTGTTTCGGCTTGTTGCTGTTAGCCTTTAGAACTTCACGTTCAGTTGCTTTTGTTATTTTGTCTGTGTTTATTAGAATAAACGACTATGTACGCATACCATGCTGCACCTTGGTCTAATCCTTTATACAACGAACGTGACAATGTGTGAAGATGATGTATCTTGGGTATAATTTGAAAGAAGAAGGGGAGCGTGGCTAAGATGTAGAAGGCGTGTCTCTCTCCAGAATGCGCTCTCTCCTGCCAATTTGTGTGCATTCATTGTTTCATAACTTCATTGTGTGAATTGTTTGCCCTTTGATACATTCCCCATTACATACAGTATATCACCAGTAGTACATTTACCATTAATCCCCATAAATTCTAATCTACGATGTTTGTTTGGTTACGGTCATTTATGTTAATGCATTCAATATATTATCATTAGTCGTTTACCTTTCTCATTGTCAGTGTGGACACGTTGTTTGTAGCGCTTGCAACCTTTGCTACACTTGTGAGAAACAAGTTATGTGTTTTTGTGCCTCATAAGCAGGATTTTCAAATTGTCATTTTTGTCAATTATACAGTGGGGGAAAAAAGTATTTAGTCAGCCACCAATTGTGCAAGTTCTCCCACTTAAAAAGATTAGAGAGGCCTGTAATTTTCATCATAGGTACACGTCAACTATGACAGACAAAATGAGAAAAAAAAATCCAGAAAATCACATTGTAGGATTTTTTATGAATTTATTTACAAATTATGGTGGAAAATAAGTATTTGGTCACCTACAAACAAGCAAGATTTCTGGCTCTCACAGACCTGTAACTTCTTCTTTAAGAGGCTCCTCTGTCCTCCACTCGTTACCTGTATTAATGGCACCTGTTTGAACTTGTATAAAAGACACCTTTCCACAACCTCAAACAGTCACACTCCAAACTCCACTATGGCCAAGACCAAAGAGCTGTCAAAGGACACCAGAAACAAAATTGTAGACCTGCACCAGGCTGGGAAGACTGAATCTGCAATAGGTAAGCAGCTTGGTTTGAAGAAATCAACTGTGGGAGCAATTATTAGGAAATGGAAGACATACAAGACCACTGATAATCTCCCTCGATCTGGGGCTCCACGCAAGATCTCACCCCGTGGGGTCAAAATGATCACAAGAACGGTGAGCAAAAATCCCAGAACCACACGGGGGGACCTAGTGAATGACCTGCAGAGAGCTGGGACCAAAGTAACAAAGCCTACCATCAGTAACACACTACGCCGCCAGGGACTCAAATCCTGCAGTGCCAGACGTGTCCCCCTGCTTAAGCCAGTACATGTCCAGGCCCGTCTGAAGTTTGCTAGAGTGCATTTGGATGATCCAGAAGAGGATTGGGAGAATGTCATATGGTCAGATGAAACCAAAATAGAACTTTTTGGTAAAAACTCAACTCATCGTGTTTGGAGGACAAAGAATGCTGAGTTGCATCCAAAGAACACCAAACCTACTGTGAAGCATGGGGGTGGAAATATCATGCTTTGGGGCTGTTTTTCTGCAAAGGGACCATGACGACTGATCTGTGTAAAGGAAAGAATGAATGGGGCCATGTATCGTGAGATTTTGAGTGAAAACCTCCTTCCATCAGCAAGGGCATTGAAGATGAAACGTGGCTGGGTCTTTCAGCATGACAATGATCCCAAACACACCGCCCGGGCAACGAAGGAGTGGCTTCGTAAGAAGCATTTCAAGGTCCTGGAGTGGCCTAGCCAGTCTCCAGATCTCAACCCCATAGAAATTCTTTGGAGGGAGTTGAAAGTCCGTGTTGCCCAGCGACAGCCCCAAAACATCACTGCTCTAGAGGAGATCTGCATGGAGGAATGGGCCAAAATACCACCAACAGTGTGTGAAAACCTTGTGAAGACATACAGAAAACGTTTGACCTGTGTCATTGCCAACAAAGGGTATATAACAAAGTATTGAGAAACTTTTGTTATTGACCAAATACTTATTTTCCACCATAATTTGCTAATAAATTCATTAAAAATCCTACAATGTGACTTTCTGGATTTATTTTCCTCATTTTTTCTGTCAGAGTTGACGTGTACCTATGATGAAAATTACAGGCCTCTCTCATCTTTTTAAGTGGGAGAACTTACACAATTGGTGGCTGACTAAATACTTTTTCCCCCCACTGTATGTCTATGATACATCTTTCTCTGTCAGAATACAGCGCAAAAAAACTTCCACACATCCTGTTCTTCTGACGAGATAGAAAGTCTGCTAACTCAACCGTCCTGAGGCTTCTGACTGTTACATGATCCAGTTATCTGAGGAGAATCTGGTTACTAATACACAGTGTTGTCCAAACAAGGAAATGATGACGATTTGTCACGATGTGTTTTTTGTCTCACTACCTCAATCAACAATCAAACACATCTGAGACAGAGAACTGGTTCAGGAAGCGGCAAACAGCCACGTAAAGTTAGATTCTCTCCCGCCAAATCCTTCTCCTGGTAACACTTTACCTAAACTAAAGAATCCTGGTGTAATGCTTTATAAGTTGTTATAAGCATGTAGGAGCCTTTATAATGCCTTATAAAAAGGCTTATAATATGTTGTATCTTTCTATGCATACAGTTTTAAACTATCTGGCTGTTATTTTGTTCAGATGCATAATGCATTTTACCCAAATGCTTGAAGTAAAAAGTTACCTTTTCAGTAAAATGTGTGAAGCTTCTTCAACAAAACTGGTATTTAAAAAACCTTATGATGTTCTCAGTAAATGATCAGTGCTTTGAAGGATTGAAGCAGTAATTTATTTTTGTAAATGTATGTGTTTTTATTGAATTTATATTCAGTAAGATCCTAATTTAGCAAACAAGTACATTAATTATATTGGAAATCATGTTGTATAAATACAACTAGACAAATCTTAATTTTTACATACGTACAGCGCAACATTTTTACATTGTCATTCCTTCACATATTAATTCTCCAACATGTTTTTTTAGCTTACATGCCTCATGGTGTTGTGTTAGAGTACATACATAAACCCATTCTAAAATTGTATTGGATTTAAAAGACAAACTTAGTAGATAATTGTATCTAATGTCTCATTAAATAACTCCACTGATGAACTGCAGATACCTGCTCTGGCTGTTTTAGATGCATCATTGAAAACATCCCCAGAACTTTGACACAGAAAGTCCCTAGCAATCAAATGCTCGGCAAGGTAATCCCCCAGCACCCCATCTCTGTCATAGAAATACAATCTATTTCTATGGTCTCTGTAATCCCTTTCTATGTGTCATATGTTAAATTTACATTTTAATCATTTAGCAGACACTCTCATCCAGAGCGATTTACAGGAGCAACTAGGGTACACCTTGCTTAAGGGTACATCAAAATACTTTTCACCTAGTCAACTCAGGGATTAGAACCAGCAACCTTTCAGTTACTGGTCCAACGCTCTTAACCACTAGGCTACCTGACCAACGAGCTGCTGACCCTGTTGTGCTTCTTTTTCAAGTGAAAGTACAAAGACTACTAGCCACATAGGTCAACAAGGATTGCCAGCAAAGTCGCTTCTGTACGTTCCTTCCAGCCTTTCCCTTTGGCCTGTTATCTCTGTACCCAGTAGAATTCACATTTGGACACATCTTCTTATGAATCCCATTTGCAAACCCTTCCTGGCTGTCTGACATTGCAGTCCATTGTTGGAAGCCTCGGTCCAGTTTCTACCATTCATTTACATCTTAATGTAGTCTGATGCAGAGTCCAGTAAGGTCCTGTAGATGTTGGCTCTGAGGAACCTGGGGTAGGAGTCTTTCTCCATCAATCTGTACACAATCCTCTGGGCCTCGTCGAAGCAAACTGTGGTGGGCGTCTTCACATTCCGCCTGATGAGATCTCTGGTCTTGTGGTCAATGTTGATCTGGAGAGAGATAGAGGAAACTGATGAGACTTAGTGGATACAAGCAGATGTGTCCATATAAAGTAGATACATACATGATCTAAGATCTACATGTTTTTCGTAAAGTATTATAAACTGGGTGGTTCAAGCCCTGAATGCTGATTGGCAGAAAGCCGTGATATATCAGAGTGTATACCACGGGTATGACAAAACATTAATTTTTACTGTTCTAATTACGTTTGTAACCAGTTTATAATAGCAATAAGGCACCTCAGAGGTTTGTGGTATATGGGCAATATACCACGGCTAAGGGCTGTATACAGGCACTCTGCGTCGTGTTGCGCATAAGAACAGCTCTTAGACGTGGTATATTGGCCATATACCACACCCGCTTGGGCCTTATTGCTTAAATATACTGTGTTTGTGAGTACAACATACCTCTTTTGGAGCCTCGGCTTCAATGTATGTCTTGTAGATCTTCTTGGCCCTGGAGGACAGCCTGAAGGATGACTTGATCTTCTTGTAGTCTTCACAGATCAGCCAGAACTCAATGTTCTCGTCACTGAACTCCGTCTTCAGGAAGGCTTGAAATGTTGTCATGCCATCTAAAGGGTAAGGGGGGGGGGGGGGGGGGGGCAGACTTAGCTAGGCTGAACAACCTGCAAACCTACGAAAATTGACATATGAAGATCATATCATCAACCTCCTGTTTTATGTTTTAAAGTTGTTTTGAAGTACATGAAATGCTTACTTTTTGATGCGAGAAGTCTCTCTAAAGACTGGGACCACAGGATAATTTCCTCAGGGCTAAGTCTGTAAAAGTGGAGGACAGTTAGTTTCAGATCAAAACACTGGATGGAGATGTGGTTTCATGGATGTGTCCTGAAAGGAAAGGTTCATGGACGTGGAGAATCTATCCCATTTACCGTTCAGTGTTGGGGGCTTGGGAAGATCTGCGCTGTAGTCGGGATTTCAAGTCGCTTCCCCTGAAACATGGAGTAAATAGGTGAATATACAGTAAAACACAAGAATACACACAAAACGTGCACATGCACAGTAAACCCCAAAGTTGTCTTGTTCCTAAGTGCAAAGGAAACCAGCAACATCATTCAATGTTTTTTTTAGAACAATTAAATCTGCAAAAGTGCCGAATTACCAATAAACCAACTTGGAATGTAAACGGTATCAACAATACTGCAAATACTCACTTTGTCTGCTTTCTTCTCTTGTCCTCCATGTCCACGTTGTGTGAATGCAGTTCCCTTGATGGTGATGTGACTGAGATAGGCATGTTTGGGGAAACAATAGCTGGGTTCTGTGTATGGAGTACTCAGTGTTGGAGTTCTCTGCAAGTCCTCAAAGTGTGTCTGTTTTGACAGTCTCATCAACACCCCTCTTTATACAGAATATGGTTGCTGTGAGCGTCACCCGTTTCGTTCATTCCTAACCGCAGAATTAGAGGAAGTAGAGTATGACGCTTGCTTGTTCATACCAGCTCAATGCAGCTGCCTGTCTGCACGTTCAGAAACCTGCACAGGTCATTACCTGTTGAGATTAAGGCCAGGAGATGCAAATATGATGTTGGAAATTTAAACAACAGATAAGCAAATATTTACCTTTACTCTGCGATTTGGCTTAGGTAAAGAACAAGGTCCTTTGTTAAAGTTTTCAAACACTTTTGTCAGGTGGAAGTTATACTTTCATAACGCCTTTTGATTTCATGTCCCATGATTCTGGAACTTCTGTTTCCATCACTCTAAATGTGACTTTCTCTATTTATTTCTATACAGTTTACCCTCTGTTAGTTAACACCTTTACAAGCATTTTTGGGTGTAGGTCAACGCATGCTTTTTACTAGACTTCTGTTTCTACCAACATAAACGTTTTCATTTTGAAGAGTATAACCTTTTGGATGAGACATAATACAGACATAATAGGTGTCAGAAGAGTTGGCATCATGACGCCTGGATGGATTATTTCCCCATTATTCATTTTATCTGGAGTTATTGCCAGAAGTTATTGGTCCTTTGTAGCTCAGTTGGTAGAGCATGGCGCTTACAATGGCAACATAGTGGGTTCGATTCCCAGGACCACCCATATGTAAAATGTATGCATGCATGAATGGCATATATTGTAAATGAAATAGGGTGCAAGCAGAAGGGAGGAAAATACAGTACCTCAAAGATTTGACTGGATTCATCACTGAAAACCCCAATGCCCACCTTTTAGTCTCACCCTACAGCATTACATCAGTAGTGGCTTCTGACATTTCCTTTTCTGTCACAGAGAACCAATCATATACAGTATGGTATATACACAGATAGATCGGGGCCTGATCACAATAGATTTAAAAGAAAGTTAGTCTTGACTAGAGGTCCTCTGTAGCTCAGCTGGTAGAGCACGGCGCTTGTAACGCCAATGTAGTGGGTTCGATCCCCGGGACCACCAATACACAAAAATGTATGCACGCATGACTGTAAGTCGCTTTGGATAAAAGCATCTGCTAAATGGCATATTATTATTATATTATAGGTCTAGACATCATGCTGTCAAAGACATTTAAAGTGATGCTCCAGAGCTTTAAAAAAAATAAATTCAGCCAGTAGTTTTGAAAGGGGTCCCCAAAAGTTGTAACAATTGTTCACTACATCATCAATTTCCTATGACATGTTACGTCCTGCAAATTTGTATGATATGTTCCGACTGCATCTTCAAGTTTTAAAAATGGCAGATCTTTATCATATGACAACTGAGCAATTTAAACCAGTAGTCAGTGTTGCTTACATCAGTGTTGCTAACAGTTAGTGTCACTATGAAGAACCAATCAGGATAACCGTGTGATGGTCACATGGTAGCAGAGAATGTCATACTTCAAATACAGTCCTCAGGAATACATTATCGTTTCATGCTGTGTTCTGTACTGTATGTTCAATTCAGCAGTATCTCTTTTGTATCCTGTAATCTCTCTCTCTCTCTCTCTCTCTCTCTCTCTCTCTCTCTCTCTCTCTCTCTCTCTCTCTCTCTCTCTCTCTCTCTCTCTCTCTCTCTCTCTCCTCTCTCTCTCTCTCTCTCTCTCTCTCTCTCTCTCTCTCCTCTCTCTCTCTCTCTCTCTCTCTCTCTCTCTCTCTCTCTCTCTCTCTCTCTCTCTCTCTCTCTCTCTCTCTCTCTGTGTGTGTGCATTTGAGAGTTTGTGTGCACGCCTTGTAGGTTTGTACTGTACAGTAGGTTTACCACCAACAGAAGTAAATAAGAGCAGAGAAAAAAACCCAGAGGAAGTTGTGGTGTTCACAACTCAACCCCACCCCTACCGTGTAGTTTACATAGCACCTCTGAAAATAACCTGAACATTCAAAAACCAAACTGAACAAAATGTCCCACTTTCGGTTGGCAGATCACATGTGACTAACCAAACCACCTACTTCCTCTGTCCTAAGCAGCCAACTGAAATGTGTAATGTTATATAAGGACCTGATGACTCCCATGAAAATAAACAAATGAAGTATTGCAGAAATTAAATATATGGGAGGCAGTGCATTCGTCATGAGGTATAGTCATTCCACTGACACAGGATTGGCATATTGACATATTGGGTACCGTACGTTTTTGAAACCTAATGGAATACTGAATGCACTGCTAACTGCAGCCCACGCAGAGCATTTATATTGGATTATTTAGAATTTTGGACATGATAACATATTATACATAACTAGAAAAAGTACATTTCATGAAGAAAATGTGTGTGCTATTTTCAGCTGTTGTTAAAGGTCAATGTAGAATTGAAGCCGAACAGACATTGGAGACTTTCTATGATACCAGGTGTATTCTGGGAAACATGTCCTCTCTGTGTACCTCACTTTGCATGCCTTCACCATGGTTACGTAAGGTATGCAAAGGGCCTCTTATCAGGCCATCGCTCAGCGATGCACCTTTGGCCCCAGTACTCACATTAAACAAACTTTTCAGGGCATCTAAACACTGTGTTTTAAAGCTTCCATTAGATCAGTGTAAATAATCAGAAAAAGGTATTCTCAGTGCGTACTGCATAGTTCATTACTGTATTTTTCTTTGTCCTTCAATGATGTGAAAGTTCCCCAAAAAATGTCCACACGTTGTCTGTTACATAATGTGGTGGTGTGTCATAACGGTCTATGTGAAATTTGTGCAGCGTCTGTTTTCTGTGCTAAATGTGTGTACCATTCACCGTAGGAGGATGTTGCTCCTCAACTTCTGGTGCAGGGCCAGTTTAATTTGTTTACAAAATAGCCTTCATGCTACCAGAACAAAGTCCATTTGAGAGGTTTGCTGCCATCTGGTGTTGGAAAGCTGAACGCACTTCAGGGACCACATCCCTCTATTCCAAAACCCTTTTAACCCTTTTTTCTTAAAGTGTGCAGACTGGCTCACCCCCCCCCCCCCCCCCCCCCCCCCACAGCTTGGGCAAGAGGGAGTTTGCATCATATTTCTTATTCCATTCAGATTTATCCACGATGGGAGGTGAAGGTGTGCACTCTTCAGGGAGAAGGGAAGTTAATCGGACCACAATCATGGTCAATCAAAACAATCTGGATGTTTTGCATCAAATTCAAAATGATAGCACGCAAGATACAGGCCTTCCCTTTGTTTCCCTGGTTGACTGGGCACTTTAAAGGTCCGAATGCACTGTGCATTTTTGTATGACAAAAAAATGCATATAACTTTGTAAAATGTAAATGTAAATGTATTGCAGTAGTCAGTGCACCTATTGCAACAGCAGGCACATAAAGCTTGCACCTTTCTTTCCAAAAAAGATCCACACAGAACAAGGACAGGAGTTTGGGAACTCATTTGGATAGTTTATCTTATTTTGAATATGATGCTTGATTCATTCAGAAAATGTTGATTTCAATTTGAGACAGTATCTGATTACATAAAATTACAAAAGTGATAATACTATTGATACAAATTAAGAGCTTATTTTGTCATTTAATTTATGGTCAAAGGGGTAACATTTAGCCTTTTTAGTCTCTAACAATAACTCAGTTAAATACAACAACATTTCACACATTATAATATATACAGGAATTCCTCTTCAGTTTTAATTGAGATTGGAATCAACCCATGAAATGTAGTCACAAGTTTAAGAAAAGCTATCTCTGATATCGTTTTGACCTGGATTGCATTAAGATGGTACTGTATGCATAAGGAGATGAAAGGGGTGAAAGACTAGCATACTTAAGCAATAAGGCCCGAGGAGGTGTGGTATATGGCCAATATACCATGGCTAAGGACTGTTCTTAAGCACGACGCAACGCGGAGTGCCTGTATACAGCCCTTAGCCATGATATATTGGCCATTTACCACAAACCCCCGAGGTGCCTTATTGCTATTATAAACTGGTTACCAACGTAATTAGAGCAGTAAAAAGTAATGTTTTGACATACCAGTGGTATACGGTCTGATATATCACGGCTGTCAGCCAATCAGCATTCAGGGCTGGAACCACCCATTTTATACTTCATATTTTAGAGTAGTGTTTCTCAACCTCTGGACCAGTTAGATGGTTTCTGGTTAGATGGTTAGCTGACAGACATTTAGTCTGTTCTCAAGTGCTAGTTTCAACGGGGCAATCTGCAGTTGTGACATCCATTTTTGGACGTATAGATTAATGATATGTACCCATTGAGTCTTGACGAATATAACTTATAGATGCCTCACGAGCATAGTTCAACTGCCAAACCCCATCAGAACCCAAAATATTAGCTTATTTTACTCCAATGTTTGTAAACATTGTTACATTTCCCCAGGCCCATCCCTCAGCTTTTTACCAAAACAGAGGCGGGGTGTCCCACTTTGTTATTTCAACTAAGGATTGCCGCGCATTAAAGGGATAGTTCACTATTTTGCATCACTATGATACAATACGTTTCCACTTGCATTGCTACATGTATCCTTTTCCTGCAGTCAATGACCAAAAGCACCCTCTTTGGCCTCATGGGTGGAATGTTATTAATATATTTCATCATTTCATCATTAATAAATATTATTTAAAAAACCCAACGAAAATCCGGTGTTTCAATGTCAGTTTTGTTATATTTCAGTCATCTGTGATGTATATAAAGTGTAATATTGGGATGCAAACTCAAAATTGAATACATTTCAACTCTATATCTGACATGGTACAATGTGTCTTCTTTTGTTTAAGCCAATAACCATGTGTGTGAGGTGTATACTTGTGTTTCAAAGTAGATTTGTTTAAGACTACCAAGAAACACTCTGTGTGACCCTGATTTAGCCCACTGCAGTAAAAAGTTAAAAGCTTTCTTGCCAGGATATTCTGGACATTGCTAAACTACACCCCCAGGTAACAACACCCTAGGAATGTTGAAAATAAGATAACACCTCCAAAAAGTGAACTATCCCTTTAATCTAAGTGGTCCTCCATGGATGGAGGGACTATATATTGCCAATCTCTGGTACATAAAAGGTTGAGAAACACTTTTAGAGTGCTTGTTGTTTGAGAGAGTCACCTTGCTCTCCTCAGCATATCCTGGTAGATGTCTGACTTGAGGAATCGTGGGTAACAATCCCTGGCCATCAGACTGTAGATCAACTTCTGTGCCGTGTCGAAAGAGGTCAGGCTTGGCTGAGAGATGTTCTTGGTGATATTTTCTCTGGTCCCACAATCAATATTGATCTTTAAACAAGACACAATGTACAGTATAGGCATTTCTTTGGTCTTTCTTTTTTTATATAGCTTTCTAGATTTTATGTCTACTGACTACGCAGGTCATACCTATGAAATAACTCGGCAATAAATCTCTGCAATAAATCTCTGCATATCCGCAATGACAAGCATTACCAGGTGTAGATCCAACCAGGTCCTTTAAGGAATTTGTTAATCTTGAGGGAAGTTTGTTAAATCAAATTGTGTTGAAATGTGGAGTTTTATACTGTTTTACCAGATTGTGATCATGGGGCCGTATGTGTCAAGGGTGTCAGAGTAGGAGCGCTGGTCTAGGATCATGTCTCTCATGGCCATAGTATCTAATTCATTATAATCTAAAAGGCTAAACTGATCCTAGTTCAGCATCAGCGTTGGGTAGGTTACTTTCTAAATGTAATCTGTTACAGTCACTAGTTACCTTTCCATAATTGTAATCAGTAAATCCACTTTTGGATTACCCCAACTCAGTAACGTAATCTGATTACTGTCAGTTACTTTTGGATTACTTTCCTCTTAAGAGGCATTAGAACAAGACAAAAAGGATCCAACAAACACATTTGGTGTGTCATCATAGTGGTCTCTGATAGGTGGTCATCATTTGGTGTGTCATCATAGTGGTCTCTGATTGGTGGTCATCATTTGGTGTGTCATCATAGTGGTCTCTGATTGGTGGTCAGACTCGCTCAGGTGGAACAAACTTAAACGTACGCCTTTTTTCAGCACTGAATTGAATGTCATTGAGAAAATAGAAAGGTGTCATGTTTTTTTTTTCTTTCTTCCAACATCCTTTCTGAATTTAAAAGTAATCCAATAAGTAATCATCTAGTTTTTCAAAAGTATCTGTAGTCTGATTACAATATTTTTGCAGGTCAAGTTACTGATTACAGTTACAGTTTCTTTGTAATCAGACTACATGTAACCAATTCCATGTAATCAGTTCCTCCCCAACCCTGTTCAGCACCATGAAACACACAGTCCCAGATGGCTACTTACCTGTCTTGGTGCTTCACATTCCACAAACTCTGAGTAGATCCTGTTTGCAGAGGAGATCATCTCTGGAAGAGACTTGATGTTCTTGTACTCTTCACAGGCCAGCCAAAACAGAATATTCTCCTCACTATACTCTGATTTCAGGAATTCTCGGAAAGCCGCCTGCCCGGCTGGAAATAGGGAAAAATAGGAAAAGGGAAAATGTCAGATTTATTGGAAATGGGATTTCTCAATGATTGTTATTGTTAGAAAGTATATGAACATGAGTTCTGATAAAGGCAGTAATACTAACTTGATACTTTTTAGTTACTGGCAGTAATACTAAGTTGATACATTTTAGTTACTGGCAGTAATACTAAGTTGATGCATACAGTTACTGGTAACAGACAATAATAATTTCCTAAATCTGATATCCTCCCTAATCAGTTTAGCACTCTCTGTGATACCTTTCAGACAGGCAACATAGTAAAAAGATATAACTTTGTCTTTACATTTACAACCCAGGAGTTTGTCCACAGACTCTCCCCAAGTCTCAGCCTCTTCAAGCGGCTCCTTGGGAAAGCAACAAAATCTACCCTTGAAAAGAGTGTTGAGATCCATCACTAGCGCAGTAATCAGTGGTTCTCAAAACACAATATCAAATCTACCTCACACCTGGAGAGAAAATAGATTAATATCGTTTTTCATCAATGAGTTAGCTTCTTTTTTTTTTGTCCAGTCAAAACATCCTCCAAGACTTAAAATGACCTGTTATCCAATACATTATATATTTATATAAACTTAAATCCAAAATGGACATACGACACTTTTCTGTAGTAAGTTGTAACTTATATTGAAACATAGTCATTAATATACAGAATCAGAAATAAAGAAACTCACTTTATTGCCATGGCTGCGTTGTCTGTCTGGGAGAGAGAAAATAGTTCCTGCAAGTGTGAAGCTGAGATTGTGATTGTTTTGAGGTGAAGGAGTTAAGTTGCATGGACTGATCTAAACAAGGCTCCCCTTGGACATATGAAAATCAGTATGCAAAGCGATGTTTGGAGAGAGGGTATATATATATATATATATACATATTTGGTGAGAGAGTATGCACCTGTGATTCAAGGAGTGGCCCTCATGCCGTCTGTTATTTCCTGTCCACCTCAATATCATTCATAAACATGAGGATGAATGGCAGATTATATAACCCTAATGTAACCCTAATATAACCCTAATGTAACCCTAATATAACCCTAATATAACCCTAATATAACCCTAATATAACCCTAATGTCAAAAGAGCCTACCATGGTGCACATGAATGATGCCCCAGTCAATGAATGGCACTTTGAAGAATTCAAAAACAACTGGTAACTACCTGGTACCAAATTAGTCATTCCTAGAATATTAATCAGAGATATTATATGATTATTACTGCATAGTTACCGTTTCACCACATCATTTCTCGGTGGATAAATACTGTACAGTAAAAGAAAGTGCTACCAAAATCTCTTTCAGATAGTCATCTCTAGTCAGTAAAAGCAACATTCATAAGATAAACAAACATGACCATGTGCAATATAGTATTAGAGAAAAATATTCATCCAGTGCAGGGTTTCCCAATAAACATACATGGCAGTATGTTATAGTATTACAACAAAGTAAGTCCGCAATAGAATAAATACACATATTGAAGTATGTGTTTATGCTTTTTCAGTATTGGTATATGTATTTATGCTTTTGAGGAAAATTCCTGCACATGCTATATGTATTTGGCGAATAAAGGTGATTCTGATTCTGAACAGCCTAAAAACCTGCACATGGAATATGAAATTAGGTAAACAGATTATGTTTAGTGCTGATGAAGCCAGTCGACGGGAGCCGTAAACTAATAGAGCATAAAGGGAAATGCCCTGCGTCCTGGTGTTATACTGGATTTGCATATCCGTTGTGGAATATCTTCCACATGAATCTCAAGGACACATCAACAATAATATGGTATGCTATGTACTGGGCTGCACTCTGTGCAGACTGCATATGATATCTATCTGTCAAATCTAACACTGCACTAAAACTAGGCTTCATAGGGTTTTGTGCGAATCAGAGCATGTGAATTGGAGTTACTCGATGATTTGTGTGCTTTTGAGTGGTGTTAAGTATTTAACATCTGGTGGAGATGGAGGGTCAAAGGTCATCAACAGTTGCAATCAGTGCAAGGTATACCCTTTCTGCCTAAAGGAAACCCACCCCCATGTGTGTCAGACACGGGATGCTGCCTGGGTTGCTCACCTATCCTGTCCCCCATTGTCATCCAGCCCAAGACCTAATGTGCTTCCCAAACTAAACCAGGAATGGAAATCTCACCAGGTGATGGAAAACACCACAGCGATCCCGATTTGCATCCGTGTGGACAAACCAAGACTGGGAAATTTGATTTTCAAAAGAGGTGCCTGTCTCGCACGTGCACAGTGCTGAGAAGTGTTGTCATGGGTGCACTTCAGACTCTGAGACACTGTTTATTGCTGATTTGGTTGTTATTGATTTAGGTGGATAGATACTATGCCTCCTAACACTACATAGCTGGTTGATTCTGTGGTTGTTATTGATTTAGGTGGATAGATACTATGCCTCCTAACACTACATAGCTGGTTGATTCTGTGGTTGTTATTGATTTAGGTGGATAGATACTATGGCTCCTAACACTACATAGCTGGTTGATTCTGTGGTTGTTATTGATTTAGGTGGATAGATACTATGGCTCCTAACACTACATAGCTGGTTGATTCTGTGGTTGTTATTGATTTAGGTGGATAGATACTATGCCTCCTAACACTACATAGCTGGTTGATTCTGTGGTTGTTATTGATTTAGGTGGATATATACTATGCCTCCTAACACTACATAGCTGGTTGATTCTCATTGAAAATAACCCAGAAGACTTGGCTTTGAAAGCATCCCACACAAAAACAGAAATAAAAACAGGCTTTGTCATACTGTTGTCTTTGTCATTGTTCCTCTAGCTTCCATGTAGATATGACATTGTGAAATGTTTACTATACTAATAATGTACAGGTGTTATACTAGTGTCTTCCTCTTCTAACACCATGTCATCTAGATGCCATACCTAGGACCAGGAGTTTTCCCTAGTAAGCAGATCACACGGTCAGGTAAAACTCCAGGCCCTAGTCATGAATCATAACAAGGGCCAATAGTTATTTTTCGGCCTACTGGACTTGCCCAGGAAATTCTCCTGTCCCACACTGTGTTAGGGAGCCTCCTCTACTAAGCCACAGTGAGGCGCTGTATGTCCTCGTCGGCCCCTTCAGCAGCCTGCAAATAAACCAAGTTTATCTTCCCCATGTGCTGCAACAATGCCAATTTTTTAAAAAGTCAAGACAAGGATTTGAATCCTACAGTGTCCATCTGCCTCCACTCCTGACAGTGTATGCCTCCTCCACTGTAAGTCAGTCATAGTGTCGGGGTTCATCTCGAGGACATACAGGACCAGTCAAAAGTTTGGACACACCTACTTTTTCTACATTGTAGAATAATAGTGAAGACTTCAAAACTATGAAATAACACATATTCAATCATGTAGTAACCCAAAAAGTGTTAAACAAATCTAAAGATATTTTATATTTGAGATTCTTCAAATAGCCACCCTTTGCCTTGATGACAGCTTTGCACAGTCTTGCCATTCTCTCAACCAGCTTCATGAGGTAGTCACCTGGAATGCATTTCAATTAACAGGTGTGCCTTCTTAAAGGTTAATTTGTGGAAATTTTTTCCTTCTTAATGCGATTGAGCCAATCAGTTGTGTTGTGACAAGGTAGGGGGGGTATACAGATCAACCTATTTGGTCAAATACCAAGTCCATATTATGCTCAAATAAGCAAAGAGAAACGACAGTCCATCATTACTTTAAGACATGAAGGTCAGTCAATACGGAACATTTCAATAACTTTTATAGTTTCTTCAAGTGCAGTCGCAAAAACCATCAAGTGCTATGATGAAACTGGTTCTCATGAGGACCGCGACAGGAATGGAAGACCCAGAGATATCTCTGCTGCAGAGGATAAGTTCATTAGAGTTACCAGCCTCAGAAATTGCAGCCCAAATAAGTGCTTCACAGAGTTCAAGTAACAGACCCATCTCAACATCCACTGTTCAGAGGAGACTGTGTGAATCAGGCCTTCATGGTCGAATAGCTGCAAAAAAAACACTACTAAAGGACACCAATAATAAGAAGAGACCTGCTTGGGCCAAGAAACACGAGCAATGGACATTAGACCGGTGGAAATTTGTCCTTTGGTCTGGAGTCCAAATTTGGGATTTTTGGTTCCAACCGCTGTGTGTTTGTGAGACGCGATGTCAGTGAACAGATGATCTCCGCATTTGTATTTCCAACGGTAAAGCATGGAGGAGGAGGTGTTATGGTGTGGGGGTGCTTTGCTGGTGACACTGTCTGTGATTTATTTAGAATTCAAGGCATACTTAACCAGCATGGCTACCACAGAATTCTGCAGCGATACGCCATCGCATCTGGTTTGGGCTTGGTGGGACTATCATTTGATTTTCAACAGGAAAATGACCCAACACACCTCCAGGCAGTGTAAGGGCTATTTGACCAAGAAGGAGAGTGATGGAGTGCTGCATCAGATGACCTGTCCTCCACAATCCCCCGACCTCAACCCAATTGAGATGGTTTGGGATGAGTTGGACGGCAGAGTGAAGGAAAAGCATCCAACAAGTGCTCAGCATATGTTGGAACTCCTTCAAGACTGTTGGAAAAGCATTCTAGGTGAAGCTGGCTGAGAGAATGCCAAGAGTGTGCAAAGCTGTCATCAAGGCAAAGGGTGGCTATTTGAAGAATCTGAAATATAAAATATATTTTGATTTGTTTAACACTTTTTGGGTTACTACGTGATTCCATATGTGTTATTTCATAGTTTTGATGTCTTCACTATTATTCTACAATGTAGAAAATAGTAAAAATAAAGAAAAACCCTTGAATGAGTAGGTGTGTCCAAACTTTTGACTGGTAGTGTAGGTTAGATCAGTGAGGGTTAAGGAAACATTAGCCAACGTTAGCATTCCTCTATTAAATCAATATAATTTGAAGCTAAATGCTTTATCACGTTTATTTTTTTTGCCTGAGGGACATATGTATGCATTAGGGATGTTTCCTCGTTATATCCTAAGGCAAGTAAAGTATTGCGCTTATTGATTTCTCTATTCGGAGGATTCGGCATTGTTGTGAACTGTCTACGAATTTTAACTAATAATAGTCCTTGATTTTCTAATGTCCAGGCAATGCAGTTTTTTAAAACAGACTGACCAAACTCCCATGGTGAAGATGCCATGGAGCCAATCATGGACGTCATTTAACTCCTACAGGAAGGGAAAGAAGCTAATCACTTTGCTGTGACGAATTAAACACCAGCACTGTATTAAAGAGACTGAACGGGATCTTAAGCGCTTACAAATTCGTAACCTATTGTACGAATTCGAATCCGTAACATATTATACAAATTCCAGGGGATTTTTTATTTAATTTTTTTGCAGGACGTAACATATTATAGGAAATTGATGACGTAGTACACAGTTGTGCACAATTTTGGGGGACCCGTTTTGGCACGTGACCGTTACTTTCAAAACTACTGGCTGAAATTATACCTTTATAACATCTTTAACTAGACTTTTGATATTGGTTATTCTATTCTATTCTTTCCACCATTTCAATGAATACAAGTCAGAGCATTATTCATTCCAACGCCATTTAAATGCATACATAAAGATATTAATTTATGAGTCATTCTGATCATGCTGGAATGACAGTAACTCAGCCTGAGAAGGCTGTATTGCTCCAAAGGCTAAAGGAGACCCTGACATGTGTGTTAATGACAGAAAATAGGCCCACTAAGCCCAGGGAGTATGTGAATTATGCGTGCGCTTCCTCCCACCACATACATATTTGAAAGGGAAAGGCTGCGTGCCAAATGGCACACTATTCCCTACAAAGTGCACTACTTTTTTTTACCAGAACCCTATGTAGTGTACTTTATAGGAAATAGGGTGTCAGTTGGAACGCATACATAGACTCAGTTGGATCACTGGCAGCTTGGAATGATTACATATTTGTCTTTGTAAGGAATACTGTGTGCATACCAATGACGTGAATAATTCCAATCCTAGAGTGGTTACTCAGTTGCTTGGTGAGGTCTATAAATGTTTCAGTGATTTGGGTTCCTTCCAGATACTTCTATCAACCCTTCTGACTGTGTAATGCACTAACATTACATTTGTCTCTTTTGACATAATTGAATCTTTTGCTAAAATAAAAAAAATTAAAAGATTTCATAATATATTGTTTATTTCAATAATTACTCTCCAGACAATAAATACAATTTACAACTAAAAGCCAACATAACAGATTATTATAATAAATTATTGAATTAATACAAGCAATGGCAAGACATTTAACGGTAAACAAGATGAATATTGCATATTAGTATTTTTACACAGTATGTGCATGTTTGCTGTCTAGATGGTGAACATTTTAATTGATAGCTGTAAAGTCAAATCTCTTCAGAAAGTCTCTCAATAAAATGTTTCAACTTTCCAGTCACACCTGTGCCACACCTCCCGAGTGGCGCAGTGGTCTACGGCACTGCATCGCAGTGCTAGCTGTGCCACTAGAGATCCTGGTTCAAATCCAGGCTCTGTTGTAGCCGGCTGCGACTGGGAGACCCATGGGGCGGCGCACAATTGGCCCAGAGTAGGGGAGGGAATGGCCGGTAGGGATGTAGCTCAGTTGGTAGAGCATGGCGTTCGCAACGCCAGGGTTGTGGGTTCGATTCCCACGGGGGGCCAGTATGAAAAAATAAATAATTATGCATGTAATGTACTCACTAACTGTAAGTTGCTCTGGATAAGAGCGTCTGCTAAATGACTAAAATGTAAATCTAGTCAGCTACAGGCATTGCACTGCAAGGGAAATTGGAAGTGTGTGTGGTACTACTCTTGGCTTATGATGCTACAACCAGTCAGAGGAGTCGCTGGTGGCCTCCCCTCGCAGCTCATCGAAAACGCAGGACCGTGACCTCCGGCGGTACATGGTGGTCCCGGGGCCTTTCCTCTTGGTGAGGCGCAGGTAGATGTCTGACCTGAGGAACCTTGGGTAGCAGTCTTTTTTCATCAGGCTGTAGACTTTGCTCCGTGCCACATCGAAGCAGGTATTGGTCGGCGAGGCGATGGTCTTCTGGATGGCCACCTTGGTGGCATAGTCGATGTTGACCTAAAAGACAAGTGACACTATTATCAGTATGTTGAGTGGATGTGGCTCATCAAACCTTAGATATGGTGAAATGGTAATAGCTCCACTTACATTTACATTTACATTTTAGTCATTTAGCAGACGCTCTTATCCAGAGCGACTTACAGGAGCAATTAGGGTTAAGTGCCTTGCTTAAGGGCACATCGACAGATTTTTCACCTAGTCGGCTCGGGGATTAGAACCAGCGACCTTTCGGTTACTGGCACAACGCTCTTACCCACTAAGCTACCTGCCGCTACCTGCCGCCCTCTGATAGGCTGGGTGGATGTTTCACTATATTGCTTATACCAATCAAATCCTCTCCGATCTCCACAAGTGCACAGGACGTCGGGTCTAGTGGTCAGTTTTGAGATTGGCCCTGTGTGTACCCAAAGCATGTGTCACTTTGCACTCAGCTTAGTACAGTCAAAATACAGTCATGAAAGGTGAAGAGCTACTGTTCATGGCTGGCCCAAGCCTCTTTGAGGCATTGTTTTGAGTTGACTTTACTCAGAGCCTCCTTGAGGCATTGTTTTGAGTTGACTTTACTCAGAGCCTCCTTGAGGCATTGTTTTGAGTTGACTTTACTCAGAGCCTCCTTGAGGCATTGTTTTGAGTTGACTTTACTCAGAGCCTCCTTGAGGCATTGTTTTGAGTTGACTTTACCCAGAGCCTCCTTGAGGCATTGTTTTGAGTTGCCTTTACTCAGAGCCTCCTTGAGGCATTGTTTTGAGTTGACTTTACCCAGAGCCTCCTTGAGGCATTGTTTTGAGTTGACTTTACTCAGAGCCCTCCATATAAGCAGAATGTGGGGTCAATGTTACACTTTTCGTTTTGAAGTCCTGCTAGCTTATTATCTGACTGAGCTTAGAAGACTTGATCTCAAACTGAAAGTGTGTGGGTGTCTATATCACTGGTTCAGTTGCTGCTAGTTGCAGAGAAACAAAACCACACGGTCACGTCAGTCTGCGTCCAATGCTGCTTGTGGGTATAACGTTTCTAAACCACATGGTTCTGTAATGGTCATGTCTGTCTCACTAAGGGTATAGAACGTCTTCTAAACCACATGGTTCTCAGGACTCTGTTCATGCATCCTACTAATTGTAACCTCTGCATAGTTCCTGTGCATAGTTTATAAAGGCCAAAGTATGTATACCAGTGAATGTTGATGCATTGCATCTAATCAGCCACCCTTTTGAACTAGATCAAGATCATAGAAGCGCAAAGAAGATTAGATTGTATCTTTCTTTGAATAGTTTGAAAAGTCCCATTGACCAAGCAGCAGCTTTAGGGAATTTACATTGATAGGGCCCACAGTTTTTCCATTGCCATTGATATAAAGCTCCAGCAAGGCCTATTTGGTTTCATTTCTCGAGCACTATATATTTACCTCTTTTGGGGCCTCGGCTTCAATGAAGACAGAATACATGTGCTTGGCTTTGGAGATGAGCCGGATCTCCGAGTCGATGGTCTTGTACTCCTCACAGGCCAACCAGAACTCAATGTTCTCCTCACTGAACTCTGTCCTGAGGAACTGAGAGAACATCTCCACTCCATCTGCATCAGGGGAGAAGAACATACTCTTTAATGATCCATCGGATTCATTGGATTCAATGGTGAGGTCTATATGAATGAAAATTAGCATGTACTGTTACCAGAGTAATCGTGACAGAGGGATCTACACTCCACCTACTTGAGGCTGGTGCTGTAGATGTGTTACTTTGTAAGCACCTTATTGATTGAATGTCAGACTCTATTCACTGAGACTTGCCTTATTTTTGTTTAGGCTACCTGTTTATTATTTATTTATTATTATATTTGTTTCTTGTTTATTCATATTCCTAAAATAAATTGCCAAATTCTATAGATTCCCAACCAGCTCTCAATGAAAAGTGGGAAAGATAATATTGAACATTCAACCATTGATCTCAATGACTCTCTAGACCAAAATGATGTACAGCTGTAAGGAAACACTCTTCAATAGACATATCAGGAAGTTAGACAGGTTTGATAGTCTTACCGAACGCTGAAAACATCTAGTCAAATTCCATTGTTCTTCTCTAACCTTTAATTTCCCAAAAGACACTGTGGCTTCCCATTAAAGTTGTGCTTTGAACAAAAATGGTTTAGACTTGCAATTTGTGACTAAATGAGAGATCGCTAGCTTCAATCTAACCTGAGTGCCTGAGCAGATCTTCAAAGGAGTCGCTCCATCTCAACGCTGCCTCCGGTGAGATGCTGCAGAAAAAAAGTCAGAGATACCATTAAAGTCCTCTGCTAATGATGCTGCATTGATTTGTTTATATATCTTTCTGTTTGATCCTGTTGAAAGCTGACGGTGGGCCGCGTTTAGATTACGTTGTTTCCCTCTGGTATTAATTTAAAGGGGTAATTCATCGACATTACATATTTAGCTTCATATTAATTTCCTTGAAGTAGTCTTTGGGCAATGCTGCTTTCAAGATAAGGTAACAATTATCTAAACGTAATTATGCTGAAATATCCCTTTAAGATTGAAAATACTCTTCAAAACAAATTGGGCAACTGGGGCAATTAAACATGTTATGTTATTCTGCAGGGCAATCTCCTTCCATTGCTTTGCCTTTATACTTGACTGACGTCTTACTTGATGGTGGCGGTGGCGGTCTTTTTTTCTGGACTGATGTTTTCGTGGGAGCCTGATTTGGTCAGCAGAAGAGTCAGTCGGCACTTCCTGTCTTTCGATCTGCAACCAGAAGGAATGGACACTTTAGATGGTGACTCCCAGAAGACACATACTTTAACTGTACATAATGATAGTACATTCCCGGGTTATTCTACTGTTGAATCATAATGCACAAAATCACTCGCCTGTCCCAGATCTGTTCGTGCCGTCTTACCAACTCCTATGGTTATTGTCACGCTAAACATTGTTTGAGTCGGCAAGACGGCACCAACATACAGTATCTGGGAACTAGGCTACAGAATCACATACAACAGAGGAGTAAACCAGCCAGTTTGTTACTCGTGCTGAGGACCTTTAACATGGAGGTTCACATGACAACCGGAAACAAATAGACCCTGATCTTTCTTTACACCTTAGGTCACATGATGTAAAGGTCAACAGATCATGCAGCGTTTCCCTAAAGGCAGCAGTGGCATCTCATTTGTGGATTGCCCTTGAAAATACTAGCAAAGCAAGATGGCGTCAGCGGGCTAACCAACATTCTGAAACTAGAAACCAACCACCACATATGACCAGAAACACAGAACAAAGGTGAACCAAGGGGAAATGTACTTCAGCACTTCCTACCCAGAGAGCAACAGTAACAGCAGCACATTCAAGGGAATTTGCATAGACAGGAATTCACGCCGACAGCAACTGAAACTGTCGCGAAAACTATCATTCGCAGAAAGTTTTTATTTTCCTGTCTCCTCTCTAATTCCTGTCTAGGTTGTATCATTCAACTGTTTGAATAGTTAATGAATGGATAGTTAAGAAGAGCAACTGTTTTACGGTGTCACAATTTATCCCCATCACGTAGAGTCATTTAATTTGCCTCACTGTTCTACATCAAAAGTATCAACAAACTTTATCACAAATGACTTTTATACACTCAAACAAACAACATCACGACTTTTTAATGCCTACTTTATGGCTCCACTTGCCTTGGCAAATAATCTGATACAAATAAATTAACCAAGGTACATAACCCAGAACTGTTCATTCTAAGGTGTCACCTTAATGAAGAAACATTTGTTTTCGCATCTCCAGCTATTGAGATCATGGAAATGGCTCTCAGATACACATGCACTGTACTCTGTAGTCAAGCATGGTGCTATGGTCAACCCTTTACATCATGAAGTTGACAGCAACACTTAAAGAGTGGAAGAATAAGTCACACTTAAAGAGTGGAAGAATAAGTCACACTTAAAGAGTGGAAGAATAAGTCACACTTAAAGAGTGGAAGAATAAGTCACACTTGAAGAGTGTAAGAATAAGTCACACTTAAAGAGTGGAAGAATAAGTCACACTTGAAGAGTGGAAGAATAAGTCACACTTAAAGAGTGGAAGAATAAGTCACACTTGAAGAGTGGAAGAATAAGTCACACTTAAAGAGTTGAGGTCACAATATCAGATAGCATATTCATATTAGAGGTATACTTTTTCTGTCTTTCTCCAATTCTTGTTGTGCAATGCAAATAAAGGAAGTGGCATTCTTACAAAATGTAATGAAAGAAAGACTTAGAAGCTTTATAGAATTGTTAAAAGACACAAAAATGGAATTCTGCTTTCAATCAAATAAAAAGGATCAGAAGATTTCAAGTAAAAAAAAAGAAAACCTACCTGGAATTACTAGCTTTCATTCTCGGTGCCTTCAAGTCCTCAGGACCGAGCATTTTGAAATATGCTTCCTCTTTTGGGGCCGAAAAGTTGAATTGAGGAAACAGAAAAACAAGTGTCTCCATTCTAGCTTCTTATCTTCCTTCTAACTTTAGCATATGTGAAAGCAGAGTACGATCAGCTCTTAGCGCTCGTTTAACCCTATGGTTTGTACCACATCTCTTTTTAAAGCTGCAACGTAGCCCAAACATTTCCCCTGTACCTTCCACACTACTTCCTGACCTAGGTGAACTACTCAGTTTACCGCATCATCAGTTACAGAGAAAATCCCCCCACGCTCAACATCCTGCTTTAAAACGATAAACTATGAACTTCACAGAATACAATAGCTTCCTATTAGCAGACAAATGCTGCATTTACAGCAGTAGGACTGTACAAAACGTGGATTCATCCTACAATAGGACTCCCATCAAGCTTCTATAAGTAATAGATCGATATGCAAAACTACTGTTGCAAATATTCTGATCAAAGTATTGTACTACTGTACAGTGATGTGCTTTGAAGATGTATTAATAAATTATAGTGCAAGGAAATGCGTCTCGATAAACAAGATCCCGCTTTTTATAAGCATGGAAGTGTAAGGTCTATGACTTGACTGGGCGTCGAGGTATTGTTCAAAAACATGAAACACGGTCTTGTTTCTGACACGCTGTCAGTGTTATGACCACCCCCAGATATCTGGGTAGTTGTCTGACAATGCATGATCTAACAGTGACTGATTGTGTTACTCTGATTATGTTGTCGCATACTGCATACTGTAGATGTCATAGCAGGCCATGTGTCTGTAAACTGCTAAAAGGAACAGTGTTGCAACATAAAAAACCAACACACAATTAACGTTCCGAATTATGTGATTCCGCCGCGCCACCATCAGCCAGCAAGTGCAGACATAGAGGGTATATGAGATGGAATGAATAGTAAAATGGGTATGCATAGAGGATAGGCTGGGTATAGGCCTGGCCGTTTCCAGGGCAACAGTGGCTTAATAGAGATAGACAAACTCACTGTGACACGGCGGAGAGCAACAGGGAGTAGGTGCCCTCGCAAGTAAACACAGACAAATGTGATGTCTTTGTTTAAAGGCGAAGAGGGGGAACAACAACCACAGTCCAGAGAAGAGAATAGAGGTGCGAATGGGAACAATGCAGTTGTATGTAGCAAACACAGACCTCGGTCATGGTTCATAGTAGAGTTTGACACCACACCAACGATCCTATGGTACTGTAATGCACCATCAGTCCTCCTCTACTTACAGTATACCAGATCAGTTATACTCATGCCATCTTAATAATCACACGACAGCACATGTTGAAAATGGCAACTTGCGGTTGTTGACGTAACTGGACTTCAGCATTTATGAAATGCTTTTGTACGCCTTATGAATGGTATATGCGTGGGTTATGAATGAGTTACGAAGGCCTTATATAGGGGCCCTTCAAATAAAGTTTGACCTAGAATACTGGCTAGCTCCCTTACTTCATGATGTGTATAAGTAGCTATTGTATTGCACTTAGTGTGTGACAGTATAGCCTTTTGTTTTGCTGAAGTCTGCTGGACTGCGGCAACACTCAAGAGCGACGTCCCGTAGCGGCAAGTTAATTACTAGCAGGTGAATCATTACAACCAATTAAAATGAAAGTCTATCAAATTAGTTTGTAAGCCCGGGTGTGGTTGACTCATTAAGTATTCTGGGCCAAATGACTGGAGGATCGATGCTTTTGCAGAACCGAATGAATGCCCCCAGCTGGTCACCAGTGACTTGATTTGTTTCATTATTCAAAATAATATTCAGATAACCATTACAGTTTAATTACTTTGCAACCGGCTCCTGCAATTAATTCCAAAAGCAATATAGCTACACGTCGTTAGCTTGAACACTGTAGAGGAAAAAGCAGTTTTTCTGTCTTTATGGATTTTCAGGAGGCTTTATAATCTTTATATACTTGGAGTGTAGTTGCTGGGGTTGGTGGACGAGTAGATTCAGTGTAGCTAACACGCTAGGGGAAATGAAGGCACTATTTTTTTTAAACTGGTGTGCAGCGTTTTCCTTTCTGTTTTCCTTTAAATGTAACTGGCACCATACATTACCACTGTGAATGACACACAGAGATCAACACACAGGGAGACAGGGTGACAGGTGCTGTGGTTTGTGTTTGTCTCGCCTTCATTGGTTGAATGCCCTTATTGTAAATCAGTCTGGATTAGGCTGTCTGCTAAAATGACTTACAAAACCCCATCCTGGTTAAGAGTGAGTCTGTGTAAGGCCTGTAGAAAAAAAGGGAAATGAAAGTTGAAACTGAAAAGTGCTGACTTGTGGTGGGGGGGAGCAAAGAGTAAAGGGAAGTGCTTCCTGTCTGATGTTCTTCCAAATAAAGAACTGTTACCATAGTTCAGGTCTGGTCTGTTCTGGTTTGGTCTGTTCTGGTCAGGTTTGGTCAGCTCAGTTCTGGTCTGGTCTGGTCTGTTCTGGTTTGGTCTGTTCTGGTCAGGTCTGTTCTGGTCTGGTCAGGTCTGGTCAGGTCTGGTCTGGCCAGGTCTGGTCAGGTCAGGTTTGGTCAGCTCAGTTCTGGTCTGGTCTGGTCTGGTCTGTTCTGGTCTGGTCTGGTCTGGATGTAGACGTCAGATAATGTCTCAGTCTTGCCTGAGTGCCTGTATGTTTGTGCTATCATGCCGACTCAGATCGGGGACCAGCCAAGTCTTAGACATAGACTTAAAACAGGGACTCTATGTTCATATACCGGTCACAATATCACCACTCTGTCCCAAAGTTAATGCTAATAACAAAGGTAGAAAGATATGTAGGAAGCTAGCTAGTCATCCCGATATTGCATTAAGAATAAATGTTACAAAGTCAAAACAATCAAACTATTTCTGAATAGAAACCATTTCTGCTTTGGCTACCATCGAGGATTGACATATTGAGAGGATGGTGATCAGAATGCAATATAGTGGATGTTGCTACGTACTGACAGCAGGCCCCTTGTGAAAAACATCAGGCCCTAGGGCCCTCATTCTCACAAAGAGGGGTATGGCAGTAAGAGATGGACCCCTGATGGAGCACCCTCTCCATATGCCTTTTCAGCATTCTCCCTATTGGGTATTCTGTTCATGAGTGGCACGCTGCTTGGTGCCTTCCCCAAACTGGGTTATAATTCTTTAACAAGTGAGATCAGCAAATATAAGGAAAATGAAAATATTATATTTTATTAGGCTTATCAATTTTGGCAGCCTCATCGTACAGCCTGTTACAGTATATCGATAATGTCTTCCTAGAAATAAGAAAATATTTAAGCATGTGCGCTGTCACTTTGACTCCATTTCCAATCATCCACCAAATACATTGGAATTGACATTTCTCGTCTGTGGGGAGCTGGTTTCAGCTGTTGTTTACATAGTATATCAACTCTGGGATCTCCCTTACAATGTTAGACCTTTACCAGAAAGCTACAGGCTTCCAGGAAGAGAAGCTCTCTCAGCTTTCAACTCGTCGGGTCTGACAGAGCAAAGCAATGACACCTGGATACCAAGATCTCAAGTGACATCATTTCCTTTGAGAAACCACACGGTTAGCAGATCTAAACGCAGATAGCTAACCACAGCTCAGGGACATTTACATACTGGGTAGGTCTCAAAGCAGGGCAGCAGGAACAGCAGCCAGTGTGTGTTTACATAGATCCAGAAGTGCAAATGGGGGATGTATATGGAGGAAGACAAGAAGAAGAAAACAAGCTATATTATATTTACAGAATGTGGTATAATGAGCAAATGGCTGTGGAAGAGAAATGTATCAAGGTCTCTGTAGCAGTAGCAGTATCTCTGTAGTGGTATCTCTCAAGTCTTTTTTTTTAATTTTTATGAATTTATCAGAAGCCATGTTTCCTTATCTGATTTGGATGTTTTACGGGCAACCAAGTCTGGCTTAGTCAGGCTCAGGCCGTCAATATATTTAGTATTGGGCAGCAGTTGAAGCTTGATAGTTTCAGACTCTGCAGGATGGCTTTGTCCTTTTGTTATCCCGTTATAGTCATACGAGCACACACAGACTCGATGCTGCCACCTACTGCTGTGCAGAACAATGAGGCTTTCTACCCCAAGGACAATATAGCCAGGCTATAGCCAGCCACAACTGTCATTTGGGATCTAAAGATACAACTTCATGATCACAAGAAGTCCAGTTTCTTTACTTCAACCCAAACTCATATCTTCAAGAAAACGTAACTTTTCTTAAAAGACACATAGTGGCTTTGCTCCCCACATATTGAATCACAGACATTAAAGTATTTCATTTGGGCCTTTTGAGGCACAGGACACAGGCTGTAGTGGCTCAATGGGGGCTAGCCTAAGTTAAGGTGACTGCGGAGAGCAGGGTGTTTTGTAGCAATGCACTGTCCCATCGTGCAGACACTCTGAGTGATGCGATAGCAAAGAGGGCCGGACAGAGTTCTTTATCATAGGTCTATGAGAGTTTCAGAGTCTATCTTGTAATCAGCTCTACATGCCAATAGTGATGGATTCCACTCTCCCCATTGCCCAGCGCTGGACAGCGCACCACACATACAAACAAGGATTTACATGCCAAAGTCGCCTTGATCAATAAACATTTTCTCCTCAAGAGAGATTTCTGTCTTCTCTCTCAAGGTTGGAAAATAAAATAAAGGTTTCAGATGAATTGTGGTCCTGACTGGGGATTGTGCAACTCATAAATACAATGTAAGTAGCTGAGCTGTCATAATGAATATAAAACGTCTAGAACTATTCACAGTGCATCATTTCCCCATCAACACATCAGAGAGTTTAGTCTTAGCGTTTTTTTTTACATAACAGAGCAGCACCACAGAGAATGAGGAAAAAACACCAAAAAATGAGCAAAGATTTGTGGAGCATTTCATATCTATGCTTATTGATATTTCAACACTATTGAAAACTCAAGGCTACTGTTTTTCTCTGTCTCATCTCTCGCATAAATCAAATCAAATTCCAAATCAAATGTAATTTTGTCACACGCACCGAATACAACAGGTGTAGTACTTACAGTGAAATGCTTACTTACAATCCCTTAACCAACAATGCAGTTTTTAAGAAAATAGAGCTAAGAAAATATTTACTAAATAAACTAAAGTAAAAAATAAGAAAAAAAAAGAACACAATACAATAA